GAGTGGTGACAACCAAACATCATAGTTAAAACTTTTAATAGAATACAATTAGCAATGTAGTGTCCTCATACAATACTATATAATTAATAGCACAAATAAAGCAGATAAGGAAAAATGCATTAATTATGAAACATTACCCCTCTAAGGTTTTTTTTAATATAATGAAAAACAAAATTAGAAAATGACTTAATTAAACAACATTTAATGAGAGTCCCCGGGGGAACAGAGTGAAGGAGTTGAATTTTCCAGTTAACCATCACACAAGGAGTTAACGCCTTTATTTCCCCTTCTTAGTAAGAACATATTTCTACGTTGGCGTAGTCCATTTTCTGGCGTTATAGAGAAATCAAGTCAAGTAATACTAAGGGACTTATTTCTCAGGGATTAAGCACCATGTAGAGATGCAAGGTTATCATTACCAGCAGGAAATTTTAAATAACAGGAGAGACGTCAGCTATTAGATGAACATACATTGATGCTCTGAGTTATTGCCTAATTTTGTTTCTTTTGCTTAACATCACAGCTCTGAGTGTGTTTTATCCTTCTTTCTTCATCCTTTCTCAGAGAGACAAGAAAGTTTGATTGGATGATCACATCAGTTTGATTATATGTCACCAAGGTTTGGCTCCACTAACCTTGTAGTCAGACGTTCTGGCGATGGGGTTGAATGGCTCTTAAGTTTGAATAAACTCTGCCATTTCCTTTGGCCTCCATTATGTTTGAGATGGAAATGTACAAAATGTCTAGGAGCTTGCTACACATATTTCTTTTTAATTTCAGATTAATATGAGCGTACAAATATTTAGGTTACGTTGTTTTCACTTCCAAGAAAAGTTCACGTTGTCCTTGAGCCCTTCACCCAGGGGATTTGCTATATGCACCTACAGTGTGCACATTAGGTGAGAACTTGCCAATACCTCTCCCTGTCCCTCCTCCCACCTCCCCCTCACTTAAATAAACTTGTGTTTTTCTTTCGTGTGGACATGTAGTTGTTTATATAATGGTTTCACATTAGAATTGAGTACATTGGATACTTGCTTTTCCATTCTTGTGATACTTTACTAAGAACTATGTATTTCAACTCCATCCAGGTAAATATAAAAGATGTAAAGTCTTCATCCTTATTGTGGCTGAATAGTACTCCTTGGTATACCTGTGCCACAATTTGTTAAACCGTTCATGAGTTGATTGGCATTTGGGTTGCTTCCACATCTTGGTCATTGTGAATTGAGCTGCAATCAACTTTCCAGTGCAGATGTCCTTGTAAAATTATTTTTTTTCTTCTGGGTAACTAACTTTTGCTATAGATTTTCAAGTGATGGGCTGTGACTGCAGGAGGTGATTTCCATTTTATTCTCTCAGTAGTTATTTTATTATCAAGTTGTTCTTTTTAAGGTCTCTAAAAACTATGGAAAATCTCTCCACTGAGTAGTAGCTTTTAACCAGTCCTGGGGTGACTGTGCACTTAGACAGTGTAACATCTTGGAATGTATTGGGTAGAGGGACCTAATTCTGACTTCCCCTTTACTGACAGCTGGCTAGTACTGTTGTGCAAATCACTTACCTCTGAGAAATTCTGTAAATGGTGGCTGTAGAACAAGTTAATCTCAGAGGTCTTTCCAAACGGAGTTTCTCTTTTTTACAAAATTCATCCGCTGGCATTTGCTGCTTGCTGGTCATATGTCTCCTGACTAACTGGCATTCTTGCTTGAGGAAAGTCTCTGTTTTTCATTGAACAAATATATATCATGTACCTACTCTATGGCAGGCATTGTTCTAGGTGCAGGTTCTAGGACACATCAGTGACTAAGACCGGAAAGGTCCTGCTCTCATAAAGCTGACATTCTAATGAGAGAAGAGAAGATCAGGAAACACAGAGTGAACAAGAGAGTCTCGAATGGTGAGAAGTGCTCTGGAGAAACCTAGCAGGGCGCTGAGATAGAAGTGATTGCGCCGGGTGTTGAGGGTGACTCTATCAGGGTCTTCCAAAAGCAACTCCTAAGACAAGGATTCAAATGCAAGTGGTTTCTTTGGGTGCAATCCCCGAGAAACACGAGTAGGAAATCAGGGAAGGGAGGGCAGCCTAGGAAGGTACATCACAAAGACACACTGCCGGCAACTGCAGGAGCACAGTCCCTCTCTAGATGTTAGTGCAGAACATGCTTTGGGTTGTGCCACCCAGGAAGGAGGATTCTGAGGCATTTATCTCCTAACTCCCTATCTGTTATTGGTTAAGAGCTGCTTCTAGGTGCATTAACTCCCCAATATGACTGGCTTACCTTGCAGGCAGGAAGAATAGCAAGTGTTTGTAGTTAGTACATCAAGTAGAATACCAGTGTATAAAGGTGAGTGGAAATGAAGGCTGCTGACAGTGTCTACCACAGAGCAAAAAATTGAATCTTTAGATAAGGGGTCAAGTAAGGCCTCTTTGAAGAGATGTCATTCTAGCTAAGATCCCAAATATGGAGGGAGCCAGCCAAAAAAGGTCATCATTATCAGGCAGAGACAATCGCAAGGACAAAGACATTGAGTGCTCCTAAGCTTTGTTTTTCCATTTTATCCTGCAATCCCATTATTAGGTATCTACCGAGAAGAACAAAAATCATTTTACAGCAACGACGTTTGCACTAGAATGTTTATTGCAGCCCAATTCATAGTTGCCAAGTTGTGGTAGCAACCCAAATGCCCATCAACCCCTGAATAGATTAAAAAATTGTGGTATATGTATACCATGGAATACTATTCAGCCATAAAAAGACAGAGAGTATCTTTCATGTTTACCAGGATGGAGTCAAAACACATTCTTCTTAGTAAAGTATCTCAAGAAGGAAAAAAAAAGTATCCAGTGTGCTCAATACTATTATGAAACAAATATATAAATACACACTCATATAAATGATAAAACATAAATGATAAACATATAGTCTAGCCAGAGAGGGGTGAGGAGGGAGAGGGGAGGAAAGGTGGAAGGGCGATTGGTGGGAGAAGAGAGGGAATTTGGTGGGATCTCACCTAATATGCACAATGCAAGGATGTATTTCAAAATAACTAAGAGTAAATTGTAAATGTCTTACAACAAAAAATAAGAAGCAAGGTGATAGATATCAGTTTAACCAGTTTGATTTAAGCATTCCACGTTATATATCAAGTCATCACATTGTACCCTGTACATGTATATAGTTATGATTTTAATTAAAAATTAAATTTTAAAAAATGAGGTAAAAAATAAAAAAAAAAAACAATAAAGAATCACAGACCTGTAGAGACACAGGTGGGGGAGAGGTATCTCTAAATCATGAAGTCTATTCTTTCACATGAGAAAACTGGACGAAGGCCATGAGCAATTCAGAGATGCAGACAGGGCTGTAAGACCCAAAGATGGAGTTGGGACCAGCACTCAGTTCTTTTGGCTGCCAGTGAGGAGCTTTCCCTGCCTCCATCATACTAATCTCCCATTTCACTCATGGGGATTCGGCAGTTCCCCCGAGCTGTGCAACTGAAAGGGCATTGGCTTTATGCTCCAATACCTGCAGCAGACCCCCAATTATACAAAAAAATTAAAAAGACCCTCATGTTGACACAAGACTCCCACCAGTCTGGGGTGGCCACTCTGACCTCACTTCCCACCCTCTCTCTGGTCACACATGGTGTGCAGTGACACCAGCCTCCTTGCTGTCCCTTCAACATCCTCCCACCTCTGGGGCTTTGCTCAGAATGCTCTTCCCCAAATATCCCCAAAGCTCAGTCGCAAGCTTGGCTTTCCTCAGATCCCTGTGCCAACACCACCTCCTCGAGGAAGCTCATCCTGATCATTCCCTTCAAAGCATTGCTCCCCTGGCTCTCCGCGCCCCCCCCCCATTCAGTCAGCTTTGTCTTTCTTCCTAGGACCCATTGCTACCACCAGTTTACTGTACTAGATTGAACTTTTCTATGCTGCATATTTACTTGCTTGTATATTGCCTGTTTTTCCCATAGAATATAAGCTCCATGAGAGAAGGAATTCATTTTATTTGCTCTTATAATAGTATGCTATAGCTTTTCAAAAACATCTATTGAATAACTAATGAGCAAGTGCATGAGTGAACAAATGGCCTTAGTTCTGGTCCTCTCTCTGCCGCTAACTCACTGAATGAAAGACTTTGTGCAAGTCAGTTTCTCACTGTGTTTCAGTTTCTTTATCTGCCAAGCAGACATTTAAATTTTACCTTATACATAGTAAAGCAATAAAGTGAAAGGGGGCCATTGGTATGAAAGTGCTGTCTATTATTGAATATTATGCACAAATACAAGATTTCCTTCTCAGGTTGAAGGCTTCTTGAGTTTGAATGAACTTCACCACATGAGCTGGGAAGTCTGGTTCTGATAAAGAATGCTCATGGATGTAGAGTTGATTAGGCCTCCTCAGTGATAAAGAGCTGGTCTGTTACACAGGAAAGCACACAGTGAGGGAGGGGGATAAAGACCCACGCCAGAGCCCAGTCTCTTCCACCTTGGTGGCCTGTGGAACTCATAGGAGCTCACCCCAATGAACTTCAGACTCCTCTACTCCTAAATAGGTGGAGGGAGGGAATTTGTCCGATATATTTGTCCCGTCTATCTGGAGCACCGTAATAATTTTGGGTGACACGTACTGATCACTCACTCTGTACCACACACTTGACATTTGCCACCATAGTACATCTTCTGCCCAACCTCCTGAGCTCCATTATTCAGATAAGAGAACTGTCAGGTAACCTAGCCCATGGTAGTATAACTAGTGGCTTTTAAGTGGCAGAGGCAGCACTTCAGCCCTGGCATGCCAGCTCCTGATCAAGTGCTTTTCCCCATTGTGCTAACTTTGTGCACTAAGTGGTAACAGGTTCGGAAGGGAGGGAGACACAGCCATTGCTTTGTTGAGTCAGCTCCACAGAACAGGATGGGAAATCATGTGATTCTGCAGCACAGGAAGTCGATCTAACCTGGCAGCATGTTCTGACTTCTCCCTCCTTGCTCCTCCTCAGGGCTTCATGGACATTGACTTGAACAAATTCAAGGAGAGCGGGGCCAATGTGACAGGTTTCCAGTTGGTGAACTACACAGACACCATCCCAGCCAAGATCATGCAGCAATGGAAGAACAGCGATGCTCGAGACCACACCCGGGTGGACTGGAAGAGACCCAAGGTCAGGACACCAGCAGCTGGCAGCAAAGGACCAGCCTCTCCCCCAGATTTTTAGACAGTGTTAGTCTTTGGAAAGGAATGGGTTTTCTAAAAGGAACACACTAAGGGAGATATATTCGTAAAGATAGATGGGTGTGAAGTGCAAGGGTCAGACCACCCAAAACTATAATGGTTTGAACAAGTCAGACACTTTGTTTTTCTCTGATGTAAACAAAGTTTAGGTGTCAGCAGTCCAGGATGCATGCAATGGCTTCACAATCATCAAATGCCCAGGATTCTCTTACTGCCTTGCTCTGCTGTCCTCGGCATAGGGCTGCTACCTTAGAGTCCAGGATAGCTGCTTAAATCATAGCCATTTCCTCAGTGTTTTGCCCAGCAGAAAGGAAAAGAAGCCACACAGATGCACTGACCGTATTTTCTCAGATGCATTGACCATATCTCAGAAAGTTAAACCCTGGGCTGGAAAGTGGCGGTTCTTCTCTGGGCAGGGCCACCATGTAGCACAGCTCAGGGGGGATGCTTATTGCTCTGTGGCTGAAACTTCCTTGGGTTATGTCGTGAGGTGGCCCTTCCTCTGGTCAGCTATGTGCCCAGCTGAAAATGAGAACCTCAGAGGGTCAGCTCTCAGTTATGTGCAGACTACCTGCCTCTCACTCACCAGCAAGGCAGCTCTAAATCCTGTGACCAAAATCGAGAATGGTTTAGAATAAGGATAGAAAGTAATTTTTTCCCTTATATAAAATCAGATAGGTTGATAGTGGCTGTGTGGAGGATTGTGTTGAGAAGGATTCTGAGGCTATGTTTATTTAGCTGGGGCAAGCAGTGAATCTTTGCCAGACTTTGTCTTGCCCCACGCTCAATTTATTGTTGTAAGTGGTGGACCATTTAACTAAGGTGTTCCTCATTGTGCTATTGTTTAAACTGATTTAACTCTTCATGGATGAAGACTCGTCTTGATGTGAGTTTAAATAAACAAAATCCCAAGATGTGCTTTAAAACAATGAGCAAACCACAGAAAAGTTCATTCATATGTGAATACTTCACTTGATTTTCAAATGATTTGAGGAGATTAAAAAATAACATAAATGTAATTTCATTTTTTAAAAAAGAAGTGAGAGAATTAAAGTTAAAA